GGTCAGCAGAATCAGCAACAGGCTAATAAGAATGAGCAACAAGCTCACTTCATTCCTCAGCATCAAGCTCAAAGGAGACAAGATCCTCCACCAGTGTTTGTTAGGGAAAATGACAGGGCCAATGCTCATCGTTATGGAGAAAGGATTTAAGCACCACCGGTGCAGAACAACAATTTTGAAGTGAAGGCATCTTTACTGAATATGGTCTAAAACTCCAAGTTCCATGGATTGCCAATGGAGGATCCTTTGGAACACTTAGACCAGTTTGATAAAGTTTGTGACTTGACAAAGATAAATGGAGTATCTGAGGACAGCTTCAAACTCAGATTATTTCCCTTCAGTCTTGGTGACAAAGCACACCAATGGGAGAAGAATCTTCCAAGAGGCTCCATTCAAACTTGGGAGCAATGCAAGCAGGCATTTCTGTCTAAATTCTTCTCAATTCCAGAACAGCAAAACTGAGAAACCAAATCTCCAGCTTCACTCAACATAGCAATGAGAGTTTTGGTGAAGCATGGGAGAGATTCAGGAGTTACACTAACCAGTCCCCAAACCATAGGTTTAGTGAGACTTCTCTTCTCAGCACACTTTACAGAGGGGCTCTTCCAAAGATCAGGAATCAACTGGATACTGCATCAAATGGAAACTTTCTGGGGAAGGAGATTCATGCTGCTTTATAGCTGGTAGAGAACTTAGCAATGAGCAATGACACATATGGAGAAGACTTTGATAGAGCCAATAGGAGTGAGAGTTCAAGAAGAGATCAAAAGTATGAGAAGGACTTTAAAAAACTTGAAAGCAAGCTAGACAAGGTGTTATTGGCCACTCAAAAGCCAATGCACTTTGTAGGAGAGTTTGAGGAACCTTCTCAATGTTTTGAGAACATCAGTGAAGAGGGTCTTACTCAGGAAGAGCTAAACTATATTGGGAATCAGAGGTTCTAAAGATATCAGTATGTCAATGCCAATCAGAACCTCTCTTACAGGAATCCCAATGTAGCCAACCCACAAGACCAAGTCTACCCTACTTCTCAAGCTCCACATAATTTTGTTCCCAAGAACAACTTCCAAGGGTCCTTTCAACCTAAGAATCAGTTTTTTCAGAATCAGGGTTACAGTCAGCATCAGCAGGAGCCAAAAGCACCACCAGGGTTCAGTCCACCACAGTTTCTGCAGCAGGCGCCGGTTCAGCATCTGTTTCAGTCAGCACCGGTTCACCAGCAGCAGCAGAATGGGCCAGATATGGTTGGGATTCTACAACAGCTGCTTCAGGGTCAACAAATGTTTACAAGTCAGTATGCATCTATGCAGCAAGACATCAAGGAGCTGAAACAGAATCAGGCATCCACTTCAAGAAGCCAAGGTGGCTTACCTGGTAAGCCTGAACCAAACCCAAAGAAGTATGCTAAATCCATTACCTTGAGAAGTGGCAAAGAGCTACCAGGTTTAGAGTACAACAATGTGATCATTGAGGACAATGATCAAATTGGTGGGTAGGCAGCCCCAAAGGATGATCAAGAAGCTGAAAGATCAAAGAAAAGGAAAGACAAAGAGGTGGAAAAGCCATCAGAACCAGAAAAGCCTTATGTTCCACCACCTCCCTATCAACCTAAGCTCCCATATCCAGAAAGATTCAAAAAGCAGATTGTAGATAAAGCAAGGGCACTCTTTGAGAAGACTCTTAATGAGACACCACTTACAATGCCTCTCATTGAAGCATTTCTGATGATGCCTAAGTTGGAAAGTTTCTAAAACATGCTATCTTGAACAAAACCAACGAGCTACAGGGTATGGTGGTGCTTAGCCATGAGTGTAGTGCCATCATTCAGAGAAGTTCAGTCCCAAGGAAGCTGTCTGATCCAGGGAGCTTCACTCTCCCTTGTGCTATAGGACCATTGATGTTTGCAGGCTGTCTTTGTGACTTGGGAGCATCTGTCAGTTTAATATCATTTTCTATAGCAAGAAAGCTTGGATATAGAGTGTTCAAACCTGCTAGAATCTCTCTTGTCCTAGCTGATAGATAAGTAAGGCTACCTGTTGGGATGTTAGAGGACTTACCAGTCAAGATAGGTGGTTTTGAAGTGCCTACAGATTTTGTTGTTCTAGAGATGGATGAAGAACCTGTTGATCCGCTGATTTTGGGCAGGCCATTCTTGACCACAGCAGGAGCAATCATTGATGTAAGAGGTGGCATCATTGAGCTACAACTTGGTAAAGAAAAGCTGAAGTTTGATATCAAGGAAATGATGAAAAAGCCCATCATAGAAGGACAATGCTTCTACATAGAGACCATGGATGAGCTAGCTGATGAGCTTTTGGAGGAGTTAAATCTTGAGGACCCTCTCCAAGTAGGTCTAACAAAGGAACATGGTGAGTATGGCTATCTAGAAGATGAGACTTTGGGGTTTAAGCAGCTTCTTGATGCACACAAACCAGAGGGAGGCAGAGCATCTTTCATGGAATTGGACTACAGAGTTCAAGAAGAAGGTTTTGGAGGCTCAAAAACACCTAAGTGTCAAGAGATCATTGACACCGGGGTACATCATCTCGATGTGGAACACGGTGTGAATGATTACCAAAGGACGCAAGAACCAGCACCGAGCAGGACACCGGCTATTTTAAGCCCGGTGTGGAATGTCTCGAGCTCAACAAGTTCGAATGGGGTTACACCGAGCTCAGCACCGGCATTATAGACCTCGGTGTTGGAAATTTTCACAAGAAATAGTTAACACCGGGATCAACATCGGACAAGCCTTACTCGATGTACATGCTTGAGGAACAAAGGAGTTTCGAGAGTTTTAACACCGAGGTGCATCTTCCAGGTGCGGTAATCGGTGTAAAACGGGTTGAAAATGCGCAGAGATTTGCACCAGGCAAGACACCGGCTATATCAGGCCCGGTGTTGAAAGTTTTTGACGAGACCATGGGAGCTAGAACCAACACCGGGGTGCATCATCTCGCTGTGGTACCCTGTGTAGGTTCAAAAGACGAAGAGAAAGTGGGTTTGCAAGGAGAAATGGTGTCTGAACAAGGGCAGTTAAACAACAGCAATGGGTCAGGACCAGACCAAGCCAACTAGGAAGATGATTGGAATGAGTCTAAAGCACCACAATTGGAACTCAAACCTCTTCCCAAGGGGCTCAGGTATGCTTTCTTAGGTCTCAATGATTCTTATCCTGTCATTATCAATGATAAACTGTTAGAGGATCAAGAGCATAAATTGTTAGAAGAGTTGAGGAAACATACAAGAGCCATTGGCTACTCTTTGGATGACATAAAGGGTATCTCACCCTCGCTATGCACTCATAGAATTCACCTAGAAGAGGAATCTATGTCATCCATTGAGCACCAAAGGCGTCTCAATCCCAACTTAAAAGAGGTAGTGAAAAAAGAGATTCTCAAAATCGTAGAGGCTGAGATAAGTTATCCAATGAAGGGGGGAATGACAGTGATAAATAATGAAAGGGATGAGTTAATAGCTACAAGAACTATAACTGGACACAAGATGTGTATTGATTATAGAAAGCTTAATGCAGCCTCTAGGAAGGACCATTTTCCTTTGCCTTTTATTGACCAGATGCTAGAGAGGCTTGCAAACCATCCTTTTTTTTGTTTTCTAGATGGTTACTCTGGATTCTTTCAAATCCCAATAGATCCAAGATACCAAGAGAAGACCACATTCACTTGTCCTTTTGGGACATTTGCTTATAGGCGCATGCCATTTGGGTTGTGCAATGCTCCTGCTACTTTCCAGCGTTGTATGATGTCTATTTTTTCGGATCTGATTGAGGAGAAGATAGAAGTCTTCATGGATGACTTCTCAGTCTATGGACACTTTTTCTCCTCTTCTTTTTCTAACTTGTCTCAAGTCCTGGAGAGGTGTGAGGAGCACAGCTTGGTTCTCAACTGGGAGAAGTGCCACTTCATGGTACAAGAGAGAATAGTGTTGGGGCACAAGGTCTCAGACTCTGGAATAGAAGTGGATAGAGCAAAGATGGAAGTGATGGTTAATAAGCTCCAAATTTAGTCAAAGGGATAAGAAGCTTTCTTGGGCATGCAGGGTTCTACATGAGGTTCATTAAAGACTTCTCAAGGATAGCTAGGCCTTTGACAATGCTGTTATGCAAAGAGGTTGAATTTGTCTTTGATCAGTGCACCAAATGTTCAGGCTCCAGACTGGTCTTTCCCCTTTGAGGTGATGACTGATGCTTCAGACTATGCAAGTTAGAGGAAGGACAGGAAACTTCATGTGATTTACTATGCCAGTAGGACCCTTGATTCTGCTAAAGAGAAATATGCAACCACTGAAAAGGAGATGCTTGCCATAGTTTTTGCATTTGATAAATTCAGAAGCTATCTTGTGGGTTCAAAAATCATTGTGTACACTGATCATGCAGCCCTCAGATATCTCATGACTAAGAAGGACGCCAAGCCTAGACTCTTGAGGTGGGTTCTTCTCCTGCAAGAATTTGATATGGAAGTGCAGGACAAGAAGGGCATTGAAAATGGAGCTGCTGATCATCTTTCTAGGCTGAGAGTGAAATCAGATGTGCCTCTAGATGATTCACTTCCTGAAGAGCATCTATTGGTTGTTAGGTCTTACATGGAGGTGGAGCAGGCTGATGCTATAAGAGAGAGGAGTTTACCTTGGTTTGCAGACACTGTTAACTATTTCTCCTGTGGTGTAGAGCCACCTGAACTAGATGCCTACAGGAGAAAGAGATTATTCAAAGAGGTGCAAAGGTATCATTGGGATGAATCTTATTTGTATGTGCTGAACAAAGACCACCTGTATAGGAGATGCTTAGTTGAGGAAGAGATGCAACCAGTGCTACAGGAATGTCATGGCTCAGCTTATGGAGGTCACTAGGAGCTTTCCAGACAGTGGCCAAGGTGTTACAATCAGGATTCTGGTGGCCTACAATGTTCAGAGATGCTCAGGTGGTTGTGTCAAGCTGTGATCAGTGCCAAAGATAAGGCAACATTTCCAAGAGAAGTGAAATGCCCCAAAATCCCATCTTGGAAGTAGAAATTTTTGACTGTTGGGGTATTGACTTCATGGGTCTTTTTGTGAGCTTATATGGGAATCAGTACATACTTGTTGTTGTGGATTATGTTTCCAAATGGGTTGAGGCTGTTGCCTCCCCAACGAATGACTCTAAGGTGGTGGTCAAGCTCTTCAAAAGCACCATCTTCCCAAGGTTTGGGGTTTCTAGAGTAGTGATAAGTGATGGAGGTTCTCATTTTGTGAACAAAACTCCAGAGGAGCTGCTAAAGAAGCATGGTGTCAAGCACAAGATAGCTAGTCCATATCACCCTCAAACCAGTGGCCAAGTAGAGGTTTTAAACAGACAGATCAAGGCCATCTTAAAAAGGACAGTGAGCAACTCAAGGAAGGATTGGAGCAAGAAATTGGATGATGCTCTTTGGGCCTGTAGTACTGCTTTCAAGACACCTATTGACACATCTCCCTTCAACCTTCTCTATGGAAAGTGCTGCCAATTACCAGTAGAGCTTGAGTACAAGGTTCTCTGGGCTGTTAAAATGTTGAATTTTGAGATTAAGACAGCTCAAGAGAAGAGGGTACTCCAGTTGCATGAACTTGAAGAGATCAGACTCAATGCCTTTGAGAGTGCAAGGATATACAAGGAAAGGACCAAGATCTTGCATGATCAGAAAATTCTAAAAAGGGAGTTCAAGGTGGGAGACTTGGTTCTCTTGTTCAACTCTAGGCTCAAGCTCTTTCCTGGCAAGTTAAGGTCAAGATGGTCAGGACCATTCAGGGTTCTAGAGGTTAGGAGCTATGGAGCATTGGTCTTGGAGGAAAAAGATGGAAAGGGTTTTGTTGTGGATGGACAAAGGGTCAAGCATTACCTGGTTTCTGAGAAGAGAGAGGAGGCTTCCAACAATTCCTCTTGATGACCCACCAACCTGTTAAACAGGTTTTCAAAGTCAAACTTAGTGACTTTAAACAAAGTGCTCTTGGGAGACACCCCAAGCTTATCTTTTGTAAATAAGTCTTTTTAATCTTTTCTTTTCATGTTTTTAGGATGTTTTTGATGCGTTTGTTAAGTGTTCTCAGGTCTATTGAGTGTTAAGGAGTTGCATCCAAGTTTATCCAAAGAAAAGTGGTGCAAAAAGAAGTGAACAAGTGAGGTTGTTAAGGGTTTGGATCCGATCAGGGTGACACCGAGACCAGCACCGGCCAAGGACACCTCGGTGTGGACATATTCTCTAAAATGTGTCTACCACCGAGACCAACATCGAGACAACTCGGCTGGTGTAATTCCAGATGAAAGCCGTGTTGTCCAGCACCGAGGCCAGCATCGAGAAACCTCGGCCGGTGTAAAACAAAACGTTTGGTCCAAGCCGTGCAACATCGAGATCAACATCGGCGTAATGCTGGCCGGTGCTTAACCCAGGTGTAACATGTTGTGCAGCACCGAGGCAAGCATCGAGGAGCAGCGGCCGGTGCTTAACCCAGGCAGAAACGTATCATGCAACGAGCCGGCGAACATCGAGCACAACATCGACGATGTAGTGACCGGTGCTTAGCCCAGATCAAGAGAAGTGTGCAGCACCGACCGCAGCACCAGGCAGAATCAGGTCGGTGTTGAACCTCCCAATACCGCGCAGGATAACACCAAGACCGGCACCTGAGGGACTTACCTCGGTGTAGAATCTCTCGAAAATGTGGTTGATCGACACCGAGCATCACACCGGTAAAAAACAGCTCGGTGTAGCTTGATGCACTTCTTTACCCAGAAGTCAAAATGATGTACTTGATCAAAGTCAACAAAGACACCCCATACCCAGCTGTCTCACACCAGGGAACAAGACCGATGTCTTCTCTTTCCCGACCAGGCTTGCCTCTTTCTTCCCTTAACTTCTAAACACCATAACTCTCTCAATACAACTCGGTTTCTCTTGATTCTTTTTGCATTGAGCTCAGGTTTCTTTCTACTTTCTGCTCCTGCAAACGTCTTTAGCTGCATTTCACTTAATCCCAAGGTAATCCTTCATAAACGAAACCCTCTTGCTCTTGAACCTGAACAGATTCTGATGTGAGTTTTCTGGGTGAAATGTTTTTGAAATCGGTTACTGAACTTTAGGGGAACTTAGAACCTTGGGATTTAGGTTGTAAATGAGCTAGAAAGAAACCCCTATACTTAATTGCTGTTCTTGGGCTGATTCTTGAAATTTTTGGGAACTTAGTCCTCTTGAACATGATTTATGGTGCAAGAATTGTTCTGAGCTGGTTTGACATCTGTTTTTGATGTTTTAAAGTGCTGTAGATTCCTATGAATGTTTTCTTGATGATAAAATTGTTTTCGAAATTTCACAGTAATCGTACCATTTTCGTCCTCCTAAATTCGCTTGTCCTGTACTCTCTTGAAACTTTTCCATCATTAGAGCATGATTTATAGTGCAGGAATTGTTTTGAACTGATCCGATATTTTTTTTGATGTGGTAAATTGCTTTGAACTCGTCTGGATGTGATCTTCATGCTAAAATTGTTGGCAAAAATTCATAGCAGTTTCACCATTTTTGAATTCATTAAATCACACAAGCTGTACTTCATGGGTTCTGATGCTCATTTCCTTGTGAGAGATTTGTGTTTTTAGCGAAATGGCACGAACCAGAGGAGGTCATGGGACAGGCAAAGCACAGAAAGCCGCCAAACAGGATAAGAAAATTGTTATGAGGAAGAGTGATGCTTCATCCTCTAAATCGAAGGGAAAAAGACCTGCAAGTAATGATTCAAATAGCGAGGAGGAGAGGCCAATTCAGAAAGCTGTGGGAAAAAGTTCAAAGACAGAGGAAAAGAGGTCTAAGAAGCGCAAATCACCATCTCGTGCTGATTATCTGAGTTAAAGGAGATGGAGATGGAATCAACTTGGTTCCCTGATTGTGAGTTTCTTGAGAAGCTTGGGATTTTACAAGATATGAGGACCATTCTCAAGGTTGCTGGCCTTGGGAATTTGATGGATATGCCTCACCATGCTTATCAGGAGTCCACTTGCCAATTCCTTGCCTCAGTAATTGTGACTTACCATCAGAAGAATGAGGATGAAGGGTATGGTTCCATAGACTTCAAGATCAGAATGGAGAGATATGAGATGACCTTCGCTGAGATATGTGAAGTTTTTGGCTTTCCTACTGAGAATAGATGTGATATTGGCAACTAAGGAAGACACAGAGGAGCTTTGGAAATTAGCAGCCAATGGGGGTTATCTAGCTGGAATAAGCAAGACCTCCAATCTGAGGAACCCAGCAATATGGATGGCTCAGAAGATTGTATCTCATACATTCTTTGGGAAGAAAGAGTATGATGTTGTTTCAGAAGAAGAACTGAGGATTATCCAAATGGGGATCAAAGCTTTCTTGCCTTTCTTTCAGAGTGGTGCACCGTTTATTGGAGATGAAACAAAGCCCTCCATGGCAGCCTTTCTTATGAAGCATCTTCTACATGTCAGAAACTGGGCTTGCACCCCAAAGAGAAAAAAGCCAATCTTGTATTGTGGAGGTCTTATCACTCCTCTATTGCTTGCTAAAGGAGTACCTCTGCTTGGTAAGAAGAAGGACTTCAAGTTGATGGATGCAGCTCATTTGATGAAGACAACTTTCATTGAGGGGATTGTGGAAGGAGGCTTCTTTGCTTATAACCTCACCTTCTATGAGAGTGATAGGAGAATCTTGCTGCCTAATACCTCCCTTGCCTCCCTATCTGATGCAAAGAACATTGGCTTTCACATCACCAAAGACCTTCACTATAATCCTGCTGTTCATCCTCCCATCATTGGTATTAAGAAGAAAGTGAGCAAAGAAAAGAGACCAATCAGCGATGATGAGGATAATCAGAGTGATGAGCCATCTCCTCCAGCACCTAAGTATGGGAGTAAGAGGTATCTCTTCACTCCTTACAATGGAAGAATGGCCGAAGCCATTGCCCAAGTTCATCACCACACCAACAGTCTTCAAAGGTGGAACCGCTGGCAAGACAAGAACATCAAGAAGTTGGTTGGCACGGTTACTGGCTTGTTTAACATGGTCAAAAAGATGGGTTCAAAGATAAAAAGCTAAATGCTAAGCTGGAGAGGTATCAAAGAGGAGAGGTTGGTTAGACTTCTTACCAAGGCGAGATGGTGAGAATCTGTGCCGGCCCTAGTGAGCAAAACTCTGAAGATGACGAACTGAGGGCCAAGAGAGAAGAAATGGAATTTCCATCAGACCAATCCTCCAACCCATCTTACTACATGGGGTCTCCAGTCCCATCTCTCAGCCCATGATCAGGTAACCTCCAAACCTTTGTAAATATGCATCTAACTTAGCTTATTTTCTATTTGCATTTTGTGATTTTGCTTTGCACTTTTCCTTCATGCTTTTATAACACAAGGGACTGTGTTATCTAAGTGTGGAGGAGGGGTTTTGTGTTTACTAATCATGTTTATTCTGTTCTTATTTTCTTTTCCACTTTGAGTCTCATTTTGCATTCATCTAAGTGCATATAAAAACCAAAAAAAAAAAAATCAAAAAATTTGAAAATCTTCACAAAAAAATGCTCATGTAGTTGCATTCACATTTTAGGATTGAGTCTAGTTTGCATTTTCATATAGGTTTGCATCATATGCAACTGGGAGTAATGATAGATTTTTTCTTGAAGAGAGCATCATTTTAAGAGTTTGGTTCATTATCCAAGTTATTAGTTCTTTAATGCATTGCAAAACTAGTATGAAATCAAGTGTGAACCATGCTTTGAACTGGTGTCTCAATACTTCTGTGCTAGCTGCATAAAGTTGTGAATAACCTCAACCTTGCTTAAGAGAAAACCCTTGAATTTGACAACTAATTATCATGTTTGTGTATATCATTGTGAATTCATGGGTACCATACACATATTTGATCTTATCCCTTTTTACCACTCTTGCTAGCTCAAATAGCTGATCTCACATCTTGAGACAGTTCCCTGCCTTTAGCCAAACCATTCTTTGAAGCCTAAACACCCTTTGTGTGTGTGCATGATTTGTGAGGCCTTGTTTCTAGTAGACTTGGTAAAAAGTGTTGGGTTTAGAGCGACAAAGATAGTGCTGCATATAGATACTAGCCCAACATCAAGGGCTAGTCTAGGTTTAGGTGAGAGTGAGAGCATTGAAAAGAGTATGTGAGCTGAAAAGAAAAAAAAATCTGAATGAGGAAAGTGGAAAGAACCGGATTGGTTAGGGGAATGAATGCTTAAAAGAAAGAAAGTGAATGTGTGCTGAAATAAAAAGCTCAAGTGTTGAAATGAAAAGAGTCTCATGAAAAAAAGAAGAAAAGATTCAAAGAGAGACTTGTATAAGAAAGAACTTGTGTGTTAAAGAAAAGAAACTTACTAAGTGGTTGTTAAAGAAAGCATTCCCCTAAGAGATGAAATGAAGAAAGTGATGTGAGATGATTGAGTGTCAAAGGCAAAATGCCATTTGGGGTGAGTTGACTAGAGAAAGAGTCTTAAAGGGTTTAAAGTTCAGTGTAAAAAGCATTTTGGGTGTGGGGTAGATGCAGTTCTATCTTTGTATGCATCCATTGCTTTTTACCCTTAGCATTTTACTAAAGTCTACTAATTTTTGAGTGATCTCCTTGCATGGAGTACCAGTCACTTGATTGAGATCATTTTAATCTCAAAATGCTTTTTAGATAGATTTTCATATTTTTTTTCTTTGCTTTAGAGTTTTAGGATGTTGCATTAGCTCCCAGAGTGTTTTGCATGTTTTGGAGTGTTTATAGGTGATTTAGAACCTGTTGGGACTTGAAAAGATTAAGCTAGGAAGAAAAATGGTGAATGGAGCTTTAAAAATGGTGAAATCAACCTTTTGGAGGTTATCGGCGATGGCATGCACCGCGGGAAGGCTCTCTCGGTGATTTTCATTCACCACGGCCTG